TGGAATAAGTTATTTTGAAATTTACTGAGTTTTATAAGCACATACATTCATGATATTAGTTTCTAAGGATACGGGGAAATCCAATCATTTTAATAAAGCATAGTTGGGTATTCATTTTCACTGACAACTATCGTATCAAAATATAAGTTACTTTCGAAAGAGGTTAAGTTAAGGTTGGGTAAAGTAGGGGTGCCTTTTCCAACGAATGATGACATCCGTTCAAGGCATTGGAAAAGGCACCCTTATCCTACCTTAAATCCTATTCTACCTTTACTCCAATTGGCTCATTCGCAAGCGAATGGGCCAATTGGAGTAAAGTGCCATACAGATTTAAAATTTTCCCACTTGTGACGAATGCAGCTATCGATTTTTTGCATGCTAGCATGCTAGTTAACATTCGTGTCAGTCAGCTGTTGGCTCTCATGCTGGGCAATAGAATCTTCCTGCCTATTCGTGGCAGCCAACTATTATCTCTCACTATGGCCAGTAGAAAATGGCCGCAAACTACATGAAAACTACCGTAGAAGCATGAAAAAATCGATTATTTCCACTATCGATGGGAGTTGGGAAATGCAAAGTCGGTCTTGGCCTTCCTACTACCTTGGAGCGTGTGCATGTAAATTTTGGTGCAAATCCGTCGAAAATTGTACCCGTGCATTCGTTACACACACACAGACATCCTGCCTTTTTTATATAGAGATTCAGAAAGGCATTATTCGTTAATGCCTCTCGTGGTTTCGAATTCCTGGATCAGACATTCACTCGTCTCCTCCGAAGCTGTCAAAATATGTGACATGTTATCTTAGGTTATCAGTATTTACAGACGGTCAAATACTCTCTTCCAAAAAGAAACAAATTATTTAGATGAGGGGGGTGCTTAAAGAGAAGAATAAAACTTACCCCGCATAAAAGGTTTACCTTTGCCCTTAAATCGCGCAAATAGAAATCAATCTCTATGAATATATCTTTTTGAATGTATCGATTTTTTTTACAGGCTTTTTCTTGTTTTGCCGATATGAAATTGATGAACATACACATACTTAGAAACCTAAAGTGTGCCATGGGTAAATTGTCGCCATTTTATATTTTTAATTTCGCGCATGCGCCTTGTTTGTTTTTTTTTATTTTTTTTATTTTGTCTACTGCACATTAGTGTAGGCTGAGTTGGGCAGCATCTCTTGAGAAAAAGAGCACCATGACGCAATTAACTCTGTCAGAAATTTGGAAATAGCGTGATGTACTGCATGGCATTCGCACCGGAAGCTCTAATACGTAGATTTCAAAGTGTTTGGGTGTCAATCTAAGGACATTGCAGGAGATTCGGAAAGTGTTGGATGGGTTTAATGATGATTACAAAGGAACAGAAGACGGAAAACTCACTCTGATCATTAGGATAAGAAAAGGACTCCGGAAATTGTTGTTTAGTGTCTCAGACTCAACACGTAGGCCTACATCAAGTGCATTGAGGAGGGAGTGCTGCCCTAGAAGACCCTATGTCTGGCAACAGGATTCTGCACCATGCTACACAAGCAGGAGAAGCAAGTTATGGCTGTCAGACACTTTCTGTGACCACATCCCCACCTTGCATCTGGCCACATAACACTTTAAACTTATATCCCTTGATTATTAAATTTGTGGCGCAGTTGAGCGAGAGATTAACAAAACTCCTTCTAACACCAAAGATGAACTGAAGACAAGGATTATGGCAGCATTGACCACCTTAGACAAGGAGACCGTCTAGAAGAGTTTCAGGAGATTCCAAAGTCGTCTAAAGGCCGTGGTGGAAGCCAATAGCGACTTTATTAAATAAATTTACTCTTTAGCATTTCAAGATATTTTTGTGTAATTTTGGTAAATATATCTGTTAATATGAGATGTTAGTGTTATTTTCATTTTTGCGTAATTCAGATGAGATTTTATCTATCGCACGCTGTATAGCGCCCGGTTCAGACTCTTTCTGGGCTGTTATCACAGCACTTTCTTTTGGTTGATCTATTTTTAACTTCCTTTAGGTATGTCACATCTGTTCTACTCTTGAAGACTGTAGAATGGATTGACCCAAATTCTGCAGTAACAACAAATGGTGATCACTTATATCAATAGATTTTGGAATATTAATTTCCCAGCTCAGTTACTTTTAATATATACTAGCAGCCATACTCATCGGATCGATCAGAAAAAGCGTTCAATTAGAATGGAGCAAAAACAGCATCATGTTTAAATGTAACAGAGTCTATCCTTTGCAATTACTTTAAGTACTTTCGTTAAAAAAAACAAAAACATTTTCAATTAATGCAGTTACAGAAGTAGTATGAATTTATTCAATCAAAGTTAGCCGAGGAGATGAAGGGGTAAAGCAGGCAAGATGAAGACATACTTCAGACAACAATTATTTTAGAGTTTTTGAAATTCAATTTATCCGTGTGTTACCAGGGATGTAAAAGAGGATACATTTATAAAGCAATTGTTAAGTTTGATGAAAATTGGTTGAAAGATCAACGAAAATTAGAAAGAAACCAGTAAAAATCGCCATTTTTTCTCTATTTCCGCGTGTTTTCACTATATGGGTGGACTCAGTTATCAAGTTAAATGACTGTTAAACAATAAACTTATTGTTGGTTACAATTGTATTAGATTGCTTGAAAATTGACGGAGGTTTTAGTTTAAAATTTATGTTAAAATTGATTTTTCGTTTTTCGTGGCTTTTCGCTAAATTCAGTCGCATATAAATAAAAATGATGTATCATTGAGATCGTCCTGATATAAGTAACCTACATGCCGAATTTGAACGAAATCGGAGGAAAAAATCTTGGAATTTTATCGGTTATGGATCGACTTTATCAATTATTGATTTTTTTTTTTATATCATCGATTTTTTACGTTAAGAACCTATCTCTTACATTGTGAAATGTATGTGCCAAGTTTGGTCAAAATCGATTGGATGGATCTCGAATGAAAAGGTATCAAAGGGACAGACAGACACGCAGAAATCCTTTGTTTTATATATATAGAGAGAGATCATTGTGATGGGCATGTGCGTAAAATATGAGCAGTTCAACTATGAGATCCAAGTTTGCTCGATTTGTCAGGGAGATAACTTCTTGAAAATTTTAACCAGTCTGTCGTACTACTGGGCAAAATCAGTGAACCATGCTTCGGGAGTGAAACTGCGTAGACAAAACTGTTCGAAAACAGTTGATAGTTGTGCTAGAACAATGTCACAAGTTGGATTGGGTTTCCGGTCTTTTCTAAAGCCCTTTCCTTCTCTTTCACTCACAGTAGTCCCTTGCATCTTAGTGGCACTCTCAGCTTTCTTTCTGTGAATTAATTAAAATAATAATATACCGGGTGTAACAGCAAAATTGTCCCATTGTTCGATTAGGATTTGAACCGCTGTAACTAAGAAATGATTGACGATATCACAGTGGAATACTCCAATGTTTTTAAAACACTATTGGACTCTACTTTGAACCATAAGAACGTATTTAGTTCTCAGTTGCAATGATGATCCGTCTTGCTGTTTTGACCTCTCAAGCCAGTTTTCCTCTCTACTGTTCTCTCATTTTAAAACTTATTAACCATAGTCCCGATAGTTCTTGAAAGGAATTTAAAGATGGAAGCCAGATTATGAATGTTGCTAGTATTACTGAATGCCTGAATGATCTTTTTCCTTTCACCATTTCTCATTTGTGAAGACATAGCGTGGCTGACCCAAAACGATTTTAACCTGTTCTCTTTTTAGCTGAATAATTTTTAAGGGTTTTTCAGGGATTCTTAGGAACAAATTCTGTCAAGATAGGTAAACATCCGTCTTATCTGAAAAACCTGAACAAAGAAACTCAATTAGTTTTTTTTTTTTTAGTTTTTTTTTTGTTAGATATTAAGCCTTTTGTGGGATGGACAATTATGCTGTGACAAGATATGGACAATTTTATTGTCACACCCAGAGTAGTTAGAATGTTCGATTTCTGACCATGAGACCCGGGTTCGAATCTCACCTAAGTCGATTTGTCAGGAAGGAGACTTTCTTATGTTTTCGGACTGGAGGGGGTCGATCCCAGCGTGCAGCACCTTTGGAAAGTGCCTGAAAACCATACCACGTGTTGACCCAAGCCTTGTTAGTAAAACTCAGTAGACGGAACCCTTGGGGGCGAGCGACAATAGCTGTATTAGACACAAGTCATCGTGACCGAGGGTTTGAGTGGGCTGGTGATGTTCAGATTGTTGTTCATTCTAGAAAACATGCTCTCTCCCAGAAACCGTAAATAAGGTCTGCTCAGCATAGCTGCAGTATAAACCACTGGTTAGTTCTTTGGGTGTTGAACAAACACAAATATGCCTGAGCGAGCGCGTCTGCGATAGGGAGTGGATAGCCGCCCTAGAAGACAGGCATCCTCGAATACAAGTAACCAGCTATATATATATATATATATATATATATATATATATATATATATATATGTGTGTGTGTGTGTGTGTGTATATATATATGTATATGTGTATATATATATATATATATATATATATATATATATATATATATATATGCATATATAATTAGTCGAAAATTGTAACATAAATATGTTATAAAATCACTACAAAATAGCCATTATGTTTCAACATTTCTGGTGTCATATCAAGTGATGGTGTTCAATATATATATATATATATATATATATATATATATATATTGTGAGAGGGGCACGTTGAATATATTTTCGCTAGAACAATTACGACTGAGTAGTGAGTTTGATCCTCACTTCGTGCCCCCTACTTTCGGCCTTGTGCCACACCTGAGCTACGATTGGAAAACCACTATATATAGTGTGACAGATATTGTGATGGAATATCAATGTATCAGAAGTTATATATACAAAAAAACAGAAACAATTTATTAGTAAACCGCACATGATATAGTTTGAAGCATCCATATGAATACACGTTTCTAAATGGACAGCTATAACATTGAGAAATTGTAACAAAAGATATATCACTGACGCATGCGCAGTAATTTGTGGCGGGTTTTATGGGGTGACAAAAAACACACGGCCAATGAATGCGTTGCCAAAGTGACGCGCGAAGCTGGAAAAGAAAATAGGGTTGAGAGAAGTGGCGCAGGGAATTATTTAGTAAAAATGAAGGAAGCTTTCCTTTTTTTTTATTATTTTGTAGCTCGTTCCGTAAGAAAGATAGTGAAGGAGAAATGCTTATAACAAGAATCGAGACCTTAAAGAATCTGTAAAAATATAATATTCATTAATTAAAAAAAAATGGTAGAGGAAAATAAAAAAGACTTCAATTATAAATACTGGATTTAAATATATTTTATTTTTTTCCTTTTTTTTTTATTTTTTTGTATTCCTTTCTGTGCTTTTTTTCTTCTCTTTCATTTTTTTCGACGTCATTTTATTCTTTTTCTCTCTTTTATTTAATTACTTTTTTATACATTTTTCTTCATCTTTATTTTTGCTTCTGCTTCTCCTCCTCTTTTACGTCTTTCTTTTCTTTTTCATTGGACTCGATCCTTTCCTTCTTTTTCCTGTTCTTTTAACTTTCTTTCTTTTTCTTTTCCTTTTTTTTTTGTTTATTCTTCACCGTCATTTTTTTATCGTCGTTTTTCGATCTTAG